AGAGTGAGTGTGCATGTATGTGAGAGAGAGAAAAAAAAAAAGAGAGAGTGAAGGTGGGAGAGAGAGATGAGCACCCTTCACAGGATCTGGTCATACCAGAAACTCTTCCTTCAGTCCTTCAGACAATAAGATCTTGGAAACCCACATTTTCCCAGTGTGTTTCAAGCTGACCAGACAGGGGATTTGAACCATGGCCACTATGTGGGACTCAATTTTTCTTGAGCAGCATGTTAAGATAAATTTCTACTATGCCACAGAGGTGACCCTAAATTTTATGATTAAAATCGTGCCCAGGAGACCTGAAGAAATAATGAATGTTTTGCACTCATCCTTTGATTTTAGATCGATGACCATATGAATCTATCGTTTTATTTATAACTAGCATTCCATTTACCTCCACCTCCTGTTATTAATAGCGATGATACGGCTCAAATAAGGTTGACACATTTTATACTTAAGTCTTGTCAAATATGAGCTTTGTACTGGACCTTCAAATTTGGACTCCATGGTTCTATGTATTTTAGTACTTTAATCTTGGAGCTGGTATGGGTAGCTTTTTGTACCAGTGAAATGGAAATAAAATCCCTAGAAGTCTTAGGGGTAGTTTATTTTTGTGATGAGAACCAACATTGCTGTGTAGTTCTTTGTCTTCTTACAAATCTGACTGTTGAGAGGGTTTGGTGGTGTGGAGAGGAGTGACTTCTCATTTTCTTGTGTTGGGTTATTCCTTGGACCTCTGTGTACTGAATTATCTGCTTCTGGACACAAGCTAATAGTAGTTTGAATGTAAGTAGATATATACACTCTAAAAGTAATTTATAGTTTGAAAATGGAAACCTTGGGGCCAGCATGTGACATGGTGGTTAAGGTGCAAGACTCCCACATGGCTGGCCACTGTTCAAGTCCTGTACCTGGAAGCTTACTTTCTCACCTTCCTTCACTCTCTCACTGTCTCTCTCTCACAAGCATATGTGCCATATAGCAAATTAAATAATAATAATAAATAAAATTTAAAAAAGAAAATGGAAACCTCTTGGAGTTTAGAGCTTAGATAATGAACAATAATGGAAAAGGAAGACATTATGGAGTTTGCCAAGAACGGAACAATTGGGCTAGCCAAGTGGTGTGGAGGTTAAGGCGGCTGGACTCCCACATGGCCAAACCGCAGTTTGAGTCCCAAATCTGGAGCTTAAAAATCATGCTGGGCATGTGTGTGTGTGCCCAAAATCGCAAGAGGAGAATGGAGGTAAAGGGTTTGTGGGTGGCCATCCCCTTGGGGGGGGTGATTTCTCACTTTCCCTCTCACTGTCTCTCTATAGTGAGCATACCACCCTATAGCAAAAACCTTAAAAAACAAGCAAAAAATCAGCTGTCATTTTATTTCAGGTTGTACTGGGGTGTTTGGAGCAGTGTTGGAGAAGAAGTGACCTCTGCAGTGTAATCTGTGTCTTTCTCGTTAGATTCTCTTTGATTCCAGGAAGGAGAGACTGAAAGTGTTCTAATTCTTAACATATTTTAACTTAAATGTCTTCTGTCATTTAGTTGTAAGAGATGGCTGTTTGCTTTATAAAGTTTTCTTTTTGGGGAACAAATTCTTATAGAATTTAAACCTTTGAATAAAAGACAACTGATATCTAATCTGTTGTTAGTTCCGTGTCCTTGAAACAATATAAAGGGCATTTTGTATTGCTGTAGTAATGTAGTTTGTAAAAGATTGAGAAATTGGAGTTAAAAATATCATCAAAGGAGCTCAAGCTCTGATGGAAGTTGATATCTGAAATTGCTTCATTTCATCCTTAAATTCAAAATTACCCCCAAAGCATCTGGTTTTACATTCGTAAATGCCCTTGTAAGGATTTTGGTAGCTGTCATTCAGGAGTAGAGATCACTTAGACCTCATTAACAGACAATATTCCCTCTGAAAATGACATGGTATCTACTGTAATCCTAGAGTGTTTTAATAGTCTATTCTATACTCAGCAATGAAACATTTCAAAAGTGACTGACAGTCAATTGATGCAATTCATGGTGATCTTTTGTGGTGACAGATCTTTAAAAAGTCATGGGAAATTACTACTGTACCCGGTGAAGCCGCCTCCTTTTTTTCTTTTTTTTTTTTTAAACTGCCAATATCCTGCAAAACAGGACAATTTTCTCTTTGACTGCCACTGTTTTTTATTTCGATAACATGACACGATTCCTCCTTATTATTAGGAATTCTTTTGATAGACAGAATGTGTTCCCTATAGGTAATGCTGATTTTAAAATAGAAATTCTTCAGTTCTCCAAATTAACTCTCTTACTTTTCTGATTTCTACATCAAGACAACCTTGTCGGTAGCCACCTTCCCACTCAGGAAGAAGAGTGATTTAATTTAGACACTTTAAATGTTTTAAAATGATTTTAGTTCTTCTCTGAAAGAGAGGTTGGTTATTTTGGTGGGTGTTTTTTCTTAGAGCTCTCTGAAGTTAAAAGGCTGATGTTTTGGATAATTTTATAGCAGACAGCAGTCTTGTGTCCAAAACCCCAGATTTCCCAGTTTGAACTCTGACATGAATGGAAACGGGTTTCTGGTGAATATGAACTTGTCTGATGGGTTGTGGGGAAAAATACAGAAATCTAGTTTCAGTGTTGCCCAGTCTTTTCTAAGACAAGTTGTTGGAACCGCATCTCCAGGTCTTTTTGCCCTTTGTCATTGTGTTTCAAAAGCAGCGGTTAAAAAAAAAAAGAAAAAAAAGAAAAAAGGCAGCCGTTCATGTCCTGGACCCGGTGGCTTCAACTCACGCCTGGTGCGTGTGCATGCATGCCCAAGATCTCGAGAGAATGGAGGAGAAAGGATTGTAGTGTGGCCATCCTCCCCTGGAGGATGATGTCTCGCTTTCTGTCTCTCTGTCTCTCTCTGTCTTTCTGGGGAGCACACACTCCCTATAGCCAAAAACCTCTCAAAAAAAAAAAAAAAAAAAAAAAAGGGAGCTGTTTTTCCAAGATCTTCAAGCTGATCCTTAGTGGAGTTGGAGGTGCTTTTTGCCCTTAGTCCAACCCATTGCTAAAGCTTTGTAGCTATGAGTTGACATGTATTTTCTGAGAATGAAATGTTTGCTTTAGCCCTGTGCTGGGTGTTATGAAGGTAAGAATGTGCATTCTGTCTTGAGGCCTATTTATATTTTTGTTCAGTATTTCACAACGTATTACATATTACAGTGATTCTTACTGAAATATAATTCCAACATTTAAACGTTTTGAGATTCCATTTCACTGTAAAAAGCTGTTGTACCTCCCTTTGTCTTTAGTTCCAATTTCTTTTTGTGTTTTCTATCTACTCTCTCCTTGGCTTGGTATCTCACTAGACTAAAAGAAGACCTAAATTTACCCATAGCCTTTCACATCAACTCTCTCCATATCTCCCACAACTGTGCCATGAGACATATACTTGTGAAAATAAAAAGTAAAGGATGTAGAAAGGGGAAAGCTTCCATTCTATTTCCTCTTTGTATTTCTTTTAGATTGTAGGAAATATGAATCATTTCAGTAGTTTTATAGGTAAGAAATAAATAGTAGGTACCACTTCTTTCTTTTCTTTTCTTTTTTTTTAAGAGAGACTAGAATAAAGCATAACGAGGTGTATTTAATAGCTGATCTAGAGTCTGATATTTCAGTCCTAACATACTCAAACATGTAGCACCCTGGAGCTGCCATCTTATGTGTAAGCTAAAAGCACCGGCAGAAGTCATCCAGTTGAGTCCATGATTTGAAGGTAGATGATATGGATTTGACTGTTAATTCCACTGAGATTATGTAATCAAGAGAAAATCGCTTTGTTTCTATTTCTGTTGAGGTAAAAGTGGAAGCAATAATACTGCCCATTTAACCTACTTCTCTGGGGTTATGGTAAGATACAGTAAGAAAATGAGTCATGAAGTTCTTTAGAAATATTAATTCTATACAGACAGTAAGAGTTATTCTTCCTCATAATCTTCCACAATCAATTTATAGAAAATGACTTTTCATCTTACCAGTACTGTCTTTTGGAAAGCTCTGTGCATTAAGAAAGGGAAATGCAGTTGATCGTTGAACATGGGTTGAACTACATGAGTCCACTTACACACAGATTTTTTTTTTCAGTAAATACTATAATTGAATTTTCTTTATGATTTTAATATTTTCTTTTTTCCAGCTTATTTTATTAAAGAACATAGTATATAATACATCTTATATTAAAATATGTATTGACTATTTACATTATTATCAGGCTTCTGGTCAATTATTGGCTATTAGTGGTTAAATTTTTTAGGCTGTCGAAAACTACATATGGATTCTCAACTGTGTGGGGGCCTGGTACCCAAACTTCAGCATTGCTCAAGGGTCAACTAAAGTCTTAACAGAGTATTGAGTCTTCACAATAACTCTGTGGGTTAGAGTTATTATTAACATTTTATAAATAAGAAAACCAGCTTGGGAAAGTTAAGAGTCTTTCAAAATCAATAATTTGTAAGTGGTTAATCCCTTGGTTTCTTTATGACTTCATTGCCCTTGTCCGTTCTGCCATAGACCAATGCAGTTTGTTACTATACCGCCGTTTATTCTAACACCTCTCTAATTCATCATGCTTAATGTTGAAACTTCGTTTTGCTATTCCAGTTATTCTTATTCTTTTAGTGGGAGTTCATTTCATTCATTTCGAAGTTATTTATTGGCAAGCACTATGCTAAATAGGAGTGGTTTTGTTTTTAGTATAGTCTTCTTTAAACATAAGAAAACACACATTTAATATAGAGTGACTAGTATGCTTATAATAGGGAGAAATACAAGTGTTTGGAAGGTCAGGGGTGACTTTTTGGAGGAAATTAGGTGTGATAGGTAAGCCCATGCCTTGGCATGCTCTGCAGAATGATACAGCCTCTTCCATGAGGCCTTTCATATGTTTGTACAGTCAGATTCATACTGAGCCACACATCCTGTGGTGAATAGTAGAATGACTTTTACATGTGCTTGCTTTTCAGCTTGTCCAGATTATTATCAATACAACACACCTGGAGAAATCCTGTAAATACTTGGAAGAATTCATCACCAATATCACAAATGTGCTTCCAGAGACAGTGCACACCACCAAGCTCTATGGTACAACAACTTTTAAGGTGAGAGGCCCTATTGAACTGTTGGCCACTTCTGGTGTGTGTTCTAGCTAGTGTGACTTTATTTCCAGGATGTTTTATAACATGCTCTTGAGAACAAGATCTTAGAATAGGTGTCACTTTTCTCCTCTGTTTTATTAGAGGGAAAAAAATACAAATACTAGTTTTGGTGTGTTTAAATTTAAAAAACCCAAACTACTACTGTATCTTCTAAACTCCTCTTCATATTTTGTACATATATCCTAAGTTGACTTCCACCGCAGTCAAGAGTTTTTAAGCACAATCTAGATAACCATGGTTATGACTTATCATCATCATCAATTGAAATTTGTTAGTTGTCCCTCCACCCCCTGTCCTGTGACTAATTTTTCAATCTTAAATTTTAAGAGAAATTTCTGCCCCTTGCTATTATAGTTGGCAGTTCTGTAATCATTTCACAAAGGCACACACTAATTTTGATCTAGTGTTAGAATGAATGGAAAAAATTATATACTCTTCACAGAACAAAAAGATTCATGGTAGGTAAGTTTCTGAAGGGTAAATGCTTTAACTTAGAAAAGCCTCGGTAAACTTTATATTACCATTTGAGTTTTCAATATATTAAGCAGAAAAGTAACAGAGCAACATCACAAACATTAGAAGGGTAGATTCATACCTAGAGGTTAATTTTGGTGGTTTGAATTTTTGTTACAGTTGTTCGTATTTCATTGTTTTAGTTTTGAAACATATTCTGTGTCATTCTTTTGAAATTCAGAAATTGATGTTACTTAGATATATAGTTGTAGAGTTGAAACGAGGATATGCATCCCCTGGTGTTTACTTTTCATTTTTGTATCCTCTTTATTTTTTTATTTTTTATTTTGGAGAGGTTTTTGCTATAGGGCGTGTGCTCTCGCCAGACAGAGAGAGAAAGAGAGACAGAAAGCGAGAAATCACCCCTCAGGGGGGATGGTCACGCTGCAATCCCTTCTCCTCCATTCGCCTCTTGGGATCTTGGGCACGCACACACACGCGCCCGGCGTGAGTTTTAAGCCACCGGGTCCGGAACACGAACCACGGTCGACTACGTGGGAGTCCAGCGACATAGCCATTACGTTAACTGTTGGTCCCTGTATCCTCTTTATTTGTTGATACTTTCCTTTGAGAGAAGGCATGAGAGATGAAATCAAATTAGATTCATACTTCATACCGCTATTGCATTTTATAAGAGATAAAAATTGTTTGCATAGCTTATTTTTCTGTTGTAAGAAAACAATGTGATGTTGAACCACACAATATTCTTTTGTACCTGTGTGATTAGATCAGCTGCTAGACTTTTACAGATTCATTGGGTGACCATGTATTGTTTCAAATAACCAATAAAATTACATAAAATGAAGCTCACTATATATCATGTATTTATATCATTGCTTCCCAAATTTTCAACTACATATGTTTATATTAATATTGGTGTTCTTTTAGTAAAGAAAATAATTATTTAATAAAGAGACCTTGAAAATTAATATTAAAAATATGACAAGAACTTTAAGGGATTCAGAATGACCCTAGACAGTTTCATAGGAATTATGATTACTCTCTCTCTCTCTCTCTCTCTTTTTTTAAGAGAGATTTTGTGCCATAAGGTGTGTGCACTTGCTGAAGGGAAA